CAAATACTTCAACGCCAAGTTGATAAGCAATGGGTTGATGGGAAGGAAAAAAAACTCACATTAGTAGTTAATATTTTGTAGTCTTTGATCATGAATAACATGTTAATTTAAATTAAAATTAATATATTTAATCTATTATAAGATGATTTCATACAAATTTGGGAGAGTCGATCTTCTCTTATTGAGGGATCATCTTCAGGTTCAACACAATACTTTGAGTACCTTGCGTGGTCATAGTAGGTAGAGGGAGGCAAAAATGTAGGGTTTACAACTTAGGCTCTTCAGCATATACAGTTGAGGGAAAAGAATCTGATTCATCATCGTATAGTGATAGTAGCATATATGAGATCATAAGCCAAAGGGTAGCTGGTATCAGCAAAGAGATAGAGAAGATGGGACAGTTACAGACTAATATACTAACACAAAAATCTCAGATAATGATGGAACAATTTGAGATACAAGTGAAACTGCGCTTACATATTCAACAAAATATGAAGGGGAAGGATTAATAGCAACATCCTGAGTTTGAGTCTATGTTTGAAGATGGTTAGATATTTGAATGTTATAATTTGAACTTCATATTTGATTTTTGGTTGTGATAGACAGTTTAAATTTCATGTTTAGAACTTTCTTTTTTGAAATTCATTTTTATTCATATACATTTTAAATTCGAATGTTGTAATCTTACAATTTATATTTGGTTTAAATTTATGTTTTAAATTTGAATGTTGTATTGTCATGTTTATATTTTATTTTCATAAACTGTTGTGAATGATACACTATTGTTCTATGAATCATAAACATGTGTGAATCAACAACTTTAAATGAACTACTACTTTTTTTTTAAATGCTATAGGTTTTTGGCGACTTTTTCAATGGAAAGCCCATCGGTAATCTATTATTAAAAAAATTTAGCAGTATTTTTGACAGCAACATAATGATAATTACCGATGAAATTACATGCATAAGTTTATGTTAGCTAAGTCATCAAAGATAGGGAGGCATTACAAACAGCTACATCAATGGAATGTTCCGCCTATAATGTTGTTGGACATAAGTAGGATTCCCGGTGGTTAATACCACCAGAAAATCTGCCGCTAGAAAATTTTTAAGTTCCTGGTGGTTTTTTCGCCCAATTTTTGCCATTGAATTAAGACAATTTTAGTAGGGTAAGTCCCCCAGATATCTATTAGAAGACCGCCGACAATATTTGCGACGAATTTTAATATGATAGATTTAGTTTTCCTACGTGGCCTTTAACGGTGGAATATTTTTTGTCGAAATGCTGCCGAAAAATTTAAAATTTGACAGAAACTGACTATTTTCTGACAAAAATGGCCATCGGAACTGGTTATTTTTATATAGTGGTACTAAAAAAATAGGCCATGTCTTAACCACTTTATACTATTCCCCATGCTAGATCATGTAAATCTTTTTTTTTTTTTTTTCAACAAAATTTCAAGTAGCGTGAGCCTAAAATATATTATTAAATGTTAGGAAAAATTTCTAAAGTTATTCATAAATCAACAAATATAAAAAAAGAGTTATTTGAAATATGCATATGACTATAATCACATGGGAAACTCATCTTCAATTATTTTTTCCAATAGTGTTAGTTGGACAAAGAGCTAAAAAAAAACCTAAATTTTGATAGAGTTTATGAGAATGAAGAAATTTTTTAACTAGTTTACAATTACAATAACTTCATAGGGTGAGCTTATTCTATGGCTGGCTCAACTTTGGAGAATTTAGAAGGATGTATAATGTAGTAACTTTCATATCTTTATCATTTAGATATCTGAGTATGCATTTTCTAGATACCTCTTTATGAGCATAAAAAAATAATAATGACGACTTCCTTATTTCTTCATCATCAACATCTATGTTATGCCTAACTTTTATTCTATGCTTTCTTCATGTGATTCGAAGTAGTAAGAATAAAACTCAATTGTCTCTTGGGACAAATATGCTTCACATATGTAGCCTTTTGGATGGACCTTTTTTTTTTTTTAATAATCTTATTTAAATATCTACACTGCATGAAGCCTCTAAGTATTATGTTAATATAAAAAAATTAAATAAAAATTGGTCAATAAATTATACATTCCTCTTTAATAGATACATACAATAATACTTATGAGTAGTTTACAACCAGCAACTCTTAGGACTTATTATGTGTTTATCAAATAATCCCTAAAATCTTTTTAGCAATACTTACCAATACTTGAATTAGGTTCATTTATACTAAGATCAAGTTTCTCTTGATATCATTAGATTCATCCCGTCAAAAAAAACATATTCATTTAGACTATAAGTTTATTAAAAATAAAGTTTGATTAATCTCGATGTTGATCCCAAAAATAATTAGTTCAAATGCATCACTTTGAGAAAAAAAAAAAGAAATTGAACAAAAAATAAAATAGTTTCATTGTCAAACTCTAGTAGGTTTATTTATAGGGTTAAATTATATCTACATTAACTCTTATGTAGAATAAAACTTTTCTCGTAAAGTCTTTTGAGTTTTTAACACAAAATCAACTAAAGATATCTTATATAACAAGATTCACTATTTGCAATGATGGTAATCATTGTAATTTAAAAGCATTTTGAACCACTATTGATGACTAAAATTAGTAATGGTTAATAAATCCATGAGAAATGTTGACTTTGATGCTAGATTTTGGCAATGGTACTTATTGGTGGAACACTCTTCAAAAAAGCAATTAATTATAGGTGATCATGAACATCATAAAATTTAATGATGTGAGGACTTGATATGAACATCACCTACATCATAAATTGATATGAACATCATAAGCTATCTCAAAGAATATACATAAATTTATCCTAGCTCAATATGGTCCTAATGAATGTGTAATATAATGATATAGTAAATTACAAGATTATAAGTTCACAACTCCTATCATTGTTATTTTGGGCCCAAAATAAGAATGAGGTTGAGTTATGAACTTGTAATTATGAAACCTATGACTAATCAAGTAAATACTTAAGTGTTCATCTATCAAGAATGTTTAAAAAATAAATATGATTGGAGGAATTAAGTATACAAGTATGACAAGAAAATTTATTATTACTCTTATATTCTATCAATAAAAATTAATTAATTAATTAATTAAATGGAAATATCATAAAAGAATGATATGTTAAATTTAAAGAATTTATAAAATTCTATCATATGAATATTATAAAATATTCTCATACAATTGAAATTTCGCAACTAATGAATTACAAAAAATTCATATAAAAGCAAAATGTTTTTGATGATAAAGACCATAGGTGATCTTTCAAATTTAAACAAGAGGCTTTAGTAGAATGGACATTTTCCTAAAACAATTAAATTTAATTTATATGAATGCATAAGTAATTATGAAAATTTAGAAACCTTTTTCTACTTGAATATCATTTATTTGTGACAAGGCTTGTGACTAGATGTCTAGATTGGACGCAAACTATTGCTTTTATTTCTCATTTCTTTCTTTCACATTTCTTTCCCAATTTGACCTCTTGAGGCAATGAGCTCTCCATCCACCGCTTACAGGTATTGTTGCCTCTACTCCTTAAACTCTAGAGCTAACCCTTTATCATCATCATATACTATCACCAAAACCTCTCTGTATTTTATTTTATTAAAAAGCAAAGAGGTCCCAATTCTCTAGAGAATAATTCAATCGAAATAAATGATGTTTTTTTTTTTTTGGGAAAAATATGAGCTTAGCCCGTTTTCATTAATGTAAACAATTACATGTATGAAAAGAAGAAGGTAACCTCACAAAGAATACAACATCCAGAGAGAGGCATAACCCAAAAAGAAAAAGCAAACCAAAAATACCTGACAATAAGGTGTTACAAAGAAAAATTAATACCTACAAAAATGTGCTGATAAAAAAACCGCCAATCAAAGATTGGAAAGGGACAACTACGGGCTCATGAATTGCTACATTCTATCAACCTGGTTGTAAAAGATCCAAATCGTAATAGAACAGTCATCCAAAGGGACAAATTGAGCAATTCGATCATTCTTGCCCTCAAAAAAGCGCCGAAAAAATTCCTCATTGGAATCAACCATATCACATCTAGAACAGAGAGGGGACTGCCCACATCGTAATTGTATATAACCAAAATCAACATCAGCCACAACAGCATTTAGATAAGAAAAAAACCTGACCACACCACAGAACACATAGATCCTACAACATATCCAGAAGAGAGAGTCCATGCTTCCATTTCAGGATTTTGGAGAATGCCGTACTTTTAATTTTTTGTCTTAAGCTAGTAGAGGAGAGATAAGAATTGTCAAATTTCCTCTCATTTCTTTCCCTCCATTTGTGATAAACAGAACAACATATTAAAAGATAATAAAAGGCCTTAACCCGAGCAGGATTCTCTGCCAGATATTCAAAAGCTTGCAAAATACTTGGTCTGAAAAGAAGACCCCCGAGTTTAGGAATCAGTATAGAAATCACGTTGAAGGAGTAATCACATTCAAAATACAGATGGGTAACAATTTCAACATTGGAATGGCAAAAAGGACAATTCCCATCCACAATTATACCTTTAGAAAGTATGATATCAGCTGTGTTAAGCCCACCATTTAAAGCCATCCAGCAGAAACAAGAAAATCTCAGCACAAATCTCTTATGCCAAACAAAGTAACTTATTTTTTTTAAGTTTCAATTAAAACAAGCCTAGAATGTGAACATGGTTCATCAAAGGCAAATTACTGTCAGTTACTTGTACAAAGATAAGCATTACTGAACAATGTACTATTGAATACTTATTATGATGTATTAGAAGTATATATTAAATTAAATAGAAAAATAGATACAATTTATTGAGAAGTTTAAAATACTCCATTCAATTTCTTTTTGATGTATATAAAATACACCACATGATGAAGCTAAGCACAACTTCACGAAGACCATACAAGCGAGGTCGCATCCTCGCTAGTTGACCCTAAAAACTCGCTTTAGTGATCTCCATAACCTTAATACGGCTCCTTTGCCATTATATTTATATTTGAATAAAACACCCTAAGCCATGATGAAATGCTTTGTGTTTTAGTAAAATCTCTTACATCTTAGCATGTAGAAGAAGATAAAGGAGGTATAAGCTATGCAATAACATGTTGATTGTTAAAAAATGTCACATCATTTACCATACAAGCAGTAGATGTGATATCAAAAGAAGAGCAATAGAAACCCAAAACAGCTAAAAAAGTTTAAAGTCTTGCAAATGCGAAAGCTTTGGCTTGTCCATGCTGCACTCCTTTTGGTAATGCTCATGCACCTGTTAATATAGCAAAAGTTTCCTGTTGAACCAATTAATTCACATGCAAGGAGAGGGAAGAAATATGGAAGAAAGGAAAAAATTGTAAATTGAAGTCAGTACAGTTTGGCTCATTTCATTTTCATTTTGTATAAATTTGCTCTCAAGTTTTCAACATTTTAATAAATGAAGGTACTTGCACTTTTCAATAGTTTCAAAAGCCTAGTAAATGCATCAGAGTTAGAACAAATTGTAGTAAAATTACTGGTTTTATCCTGAAATGTGATGATTTTTACTAGATTTGATGGACTAATAGGGTTGCACTAATCCTAGCAATTTACTAGATTTACAGTATATCCTTATAATTTTATTGAGATTTTATTAACTTTCAATTTTATTAGAGTTTTAGGCTTCATTTAGGATGACTTTTTTATTGCTTTTTAAAACAACTTTTTAGAACAAAAATTAAAAATTTGAAATAAAAAGATGCTTTAAGAAGCAATAAAAAAACGGTCCCAAATGAAACCTTAATGGATTACTATGTTTCACCAACCCAAGTAATTTATGATAGTTAGGTAAAGACAGTGATGCTCAAATTTAGTCTCCAATGGAATACATAAAATAAGTTGGTATAGAAATGTAGGTGGTTGGTGCTAGGAGTGTAAGTGAGCTGAGTACGCTAGTGAGCTAGCTAGAACTCGATTCGTTAATGAGCTCATGAGGCTAATTTATCGAGCCACGTGTTCATGCTCAAGCATATACTCAAGCTCAGCCTGGAGGCTTCGACTCATAAGCTTGTCGAGCCACTCGTTTAAAATATAAATATATTTCAAATTCGAGATTGCCTACTAGTGGGCGTGCCCTAGCTTTAAAGGCTGGCTAGAGCTTTGTTTGAGACGGCTTTCTTACTGTTTCTTAAAATAATTTTCTAGTACAAAAATTACAATTTTTATATTAAAAAGATGCTTTAAGGAGTAAGATAACAATCCCAAACGAAGCCTAAATCTATCCAGTTAAAGCAAATTTAGGTGAACTGTTAAGGATTGTCTTCGGATAGAATGCAACTCTTTTATTTTTTTGCTGCAATTTATTTTGAAGAAGAATTTCATGATAAATTGACATACAAAGCACATAATCATAGATACTACTTTGTTTGATAACAATATAAAAGGGCTGCAATGCATGATAATATATTTCAAATATTCACCTGAAATAGGGTGTATGTTTAAGTATTTTGTTAATTTCATTTTCCCTAATACACTAAGTTCCCTAATTCTTTCTTGGCATGCAAAAAAGGAGGAGAATGTATTAGATATAAAATGTTATTGAGAGGGAGAAAGTGATGAGCATAAAATGATGCAAAAGGAAACCTCTATAGGCGATGTTTAAATGATGAACCTTAAATGTGCTACTGAGGGCAAAATGAAACCCATCTTGGCAATAGCTAAAGGATAGCCATAAATGTTCTATTGAGGGCAAAGGGAAATCTATGTAGGCAATCTTTAGAAGATGAATCATAAATGTTCAAGGTCATATAAATCTGTTTTTTTTTTTTCTTTATTCATCACTGATTTTGATGACACCAGATTATTTATCATAAGAATTAATGTCCCTTGAGATCAGCAGTTTCAGATTTACCTACTCTAGATATCTCCACTGAATGATATTTTTCTCAGGAAATCAAAAAATATATCATGTTAATGCTCTCTAAAGAGAGAAAAAAAAGAAGATATTTGATATATTTGTTTACAATTTCACTGATCTAGCTGCAGCACATTCAAAATGTTGTAAGGCACTCATATTACAAAAGAATTGACAAGCAAACTCTTATGTGAGCAAAGAGCTCTAATTCAAACAGTATGCTTCCAGATTCTTAGGTAGGGGTCACAAATTTAGGTCTGGAATATGACTCTTTTTTAACTAAATATTCACTAAACCTTTTTATGTAGTCAATTTATAACTAAATTTATACTCTCTTTACCTGTAATTGGTCTTATCTTACACCATACATTCGATTAATTAAATATTTAGGATTTCTATTATTTATGAAGCAATCACTGATGTGGACTTGATCTTGGTAGTCTATCAAGATGGGAACCATACAGCGACGATCAAAAAGAGCCTAATTTAGGTAGATTTCTCCTCCCTGCCCCCAAGGACCATGTAACCACAAATGATGAGCAGCTTCATCATTACTATTAGATCTGACGGGAGGCAACATTGAGCCACTTGACCCTCATGACAAGAGGTAGGGTGGTATATAGCTACCCTTTTAATGGCAGATTGACTGTACAATGATTGATGGTCTGGTTCGGAATCTGATTGTGAAACCCCTTAAATTCTTGAACATCGAGGCACTTTTTGATCTAATTGTTAAAATTTTATTAAGAAACTTCAAAGTTAAGAATGTTTGTGCAGGAGGAATCTTGGGATGGGTGACCTAAAAGAATGATGCACTAATGGAACAAACTCGTGAGGCCATTATGTCAAAATGGACAAACTCTTGATAGTTAAGAATTTAGATTGTTACAAAATGGTATCAAAGCAATAAACCAGTTGGAATATGAGAACAAATGTCATACAGGGCAAAGTGTTATGACATGAGGGTCACCTTTTGAACCTTGTATGGGACAAACTACTACATAATGGGAATAAGAGATATCACTTGAACTTGTAGGGGCCATCTCTAGAATCTTATATGCCTGATGGACAATTCTGGGATAAGGATACTGAAGAGGATGTTGGTTACTTAAGTGGAGAAGATTGTGAAATCCCTCAAATAAGGCTACCTATGATCATGCATAGGTTTGGAGGCTCTTTGGTCATGTTGACCATATGGATTGCCAGCTTACTTGGTCTTTTGGGTATTTATTAGTGGGCTTACATTTCTATATATGGGCTTGGCCCATTATTTCCTACTGTTTGGTGTTGGGGCTTGTTCGGCTGATTCCTGGTGGCTGTTTGGTTCCTTCCTTTGGGATATTTGGCTCTTCGGTTCTTGTCCCGATTTATGGTTCCTTTTGAAGTGGATTGTTCGGATTCTACATGGGGGGCTAGCTTTTGGTATGCTGGCTGCTTGGGTTCTGGGCTGGCCGAACTTTTTTTCCTTGGGATTTTCTCTGCTTTTTGGTTGGCTAGAAGGGGCGGCTGCTTTGGGGTCTTTTGGGCTTCTTTCCCTATTTATATGGGGTGATGACTGTTGATAAAGAGTGTGTTATGGAGTATCTTTTTGAAAGAAAACTTGAGGGTTTTTAGATAGCTTGCGAGCTATGTATTCCTTTCTCTTCTCCTCTCTGTAACTTCGTCTCGGACTTCTTATCTATTTCTTCTCTCCGTAAGTTTTCACCCCATTTGTATCTTTCCTCTCTACAAAAGGTTTGAGGTGTTGTTGGCCAATTGGTTGGCATTAAATCAAGTTTGCTGTGATGGACCACTGGTTGGCATGTACGTAAAGAGCACTCTAATTTACTATTTTATCGGTTACATGTGAGGTGACATTTAGTTGGTTACTCTGAGGGGATGTTCATTTTAATTTTAGTTTTGTTAAGTCTCTCCAAGCTTTTAAATATCGTATAAGTTGTATGTTTTGTCTTTGTATGTACAAGTTTTAGTCCAAGTATAAGTTGTGTTAGTTTAATTTTACAAGTTTGAAAGTCATATTGTTTAAGTTTGTCCTTAAAGTTGTTTTGGTGTTCTCCAACTTGCTTTTGGAGCTTGTTTTGTGTTTTATCTTAAATTATATGGAGTGCGTTTTTTGGCATTTTGCATATCGAGTTTCTTCCTATTGGTTGGGGAATTTTCTTGATTGCATCAAATATCGAAGCGCATTTTGATGTAATGGTTAGCATTTCATTAAGAAATGCCAAAGCTAAACGTGCTTGTGCAGGAGCAATCATAGGATGGGTGGCCTAATAAAAGTTACACTAATGAGACAAAAATGTGAGACAATTAGGCCAAAGTGAATAATATCTCGATAGTTAAGAGTTTGAGTTATTACAATAATTACATTATGGGATTGGTTTAGAGAGGTAATACGCCGCCTAGATGGACTCCTATTTAGAGAATTAAAATACTTTCTAAGTTAAATGATATATGTTTGATTACCATTAAACATCACAAACATTATAGGTGTTGAGGAGAGCATGAAATTGGAGATCTCCTAAACAATATTATGAAGCTTGTTATGTTCAAGTTATGTAGTTAAAATTTCTCCAATCAAATCTCAACAAGATATAATTGATATATCCCACTTGATGCATATTGGATTAAGATTTGTACATATATGATTAAATCCTTATTGCAGGCAATGTAAACTTTTGATATATTAATAATATATTTCTAAACTCATGCCTTGCTAGCAATATAAACAAAGCTTTAAAAAGACTTTTACAATCCACAAAAGCTAAAAAAAATTGAAAGGAGAAAAAGAGAAGGAGAGGGAGGGTTCAGTTCATCCGTAAAGAAAAAGGGGGATCCGGATGGCTTTAATTTAGTAACACAACAGTAAGAGTCCGATTCATGCCTTGACTATAGGAAAGAAGAATTCTGCCACATATTTCATCAATGGTTTCCACCTGACCTTCTTCAATTTTTATCACCTAAAACAAGAGGTTATATTCTCCCACAATTTGGCATTAATTATAATGTGTATTTTGAACTCATTAAAAATAACATGTGGATGCAATTTCAGTGTCAACTCTAAACCATATCTAAGAATAAATAAAAATTTATTGCTATACCCCATCTAAAACTTAATGGATCTATTTTATCAAATGTAGAGCTACATATATAGGTGGATCTCACTAAAGCATAGGAATTTACCTATGATGCACCGATACGGACACGGCGACACAAACATGGGACACGGGACAAGGCATTTTTTAAAAATATAGGACACGGGTGCGGCGTGGACACAGCATAATAATTTTTTAATATAATATATAGAAATTAAAGGAACATTATATTAAAAATGGCAAGCAAATTAAATCAAAGTCATGATAGCTTGTTTAGCTTATAACATAAAGATGTTTAGTACAAAAATGT